GTATGGCAGGGCTGCGTTAGCCGAGGAGGAGGCCTTGAGGAAAGCCCAGGGCATTGTGCTTTCCTTTCCTTGAACTCTTGGCAATGGTGATCATTTGTAAATGCCAGAAATACCCGAACTTCTTTTATGTGGCAGACTTTGAATGAAGCACTGCAGATAATGGAATGAAGAGGCTAGACAGAAATCTCTTCAGCGCTGCCCTTGATACACAATCAGATTTTGAGGAGTTAGAAAATGTTTATCAGGGAAGAAAAACTGCTGGATTGGCTTTAGATGGAGAATGACCTAGGGATTAAAGGTGGCATTTTAGGTTAGTTTGAAGACGTTTCTGAAAGGAACGAGTCTTCTGCAATTAAAGGCAGTTTACAGATGGCATTATTCTGAGATTGCTAGTGGGTCCTAAGCCTGTTGCTTTTCTTTGGCTTTCTCTGCTGCAGTCAGGAATGACTTTGTGGTCCGTTCTCACCAGTAGAGTGAGAGCAGGAGAGTGAGCCTCTTCTGGCCTGACTCCTAGAGTGTCTGGGCATGAGTCTACCATCTCATCTGTCTCAGTGTGTTGAAATAAGAACGGCGGCGGGGCTGCCTCCCCAACACCCTGGCCGCTTGGCTAGCTCATGCCCGAAATAACAACACACAAACTGTATTCATTTAAGAACTGCTTGGCCCATGAACTCTAGCCCTTACAGGCTAATTCTCGCACCTGGACTAGCCCATTTCTAATGATTGTTTGTAAGCACCCCAAGGTGCGCTTACCGGGAAGAGTCCAGCCTCCGTCCATCCTGGTGTCTCTGCTCCAGAGAGCAGAACTGTTGGGTCTCTCCGGGAGCAGAGCAGAGTCTGACCTCACTTCCTCTTCTGCCCAGAATTCTATACTGTTTACTCCTCCCACCAATGCTTTAACCTATGAGGCCAAGCAGTGTGTTTATTACTTAACCAATGAAATCAACAGATTGATATATGACACTCCCACATCATCAGTGCAGAAGAGCTTAGAGACCCAGGAAATCCCTGCCATCGAATAGAAGGAAATTGATGCCAGAGCTGCTGCTTGGAGATGAGGGACACAGGGACACTTGTTCGGGACTTTGGCATGTGGTAATATAGATATTGATGGTGCTTGAGCTTATTAACATATAGTTTATAACTTACTTTGCCTTACTCATGAGATACTATGCCTACTGCTCTGTGAGACTGGTGAGGTGCTAGCTGTTACTCTCTTTAATCTGATCACTTATATGTAGTGACTGAGTTTTCAAGAATCAGTCCAAGTCTTTTTTTTTTTTTAAAGATTTATTTATTTATTTATTTATTATGTATACAACATTCTGCCTCGATGTATGCCCGCACGCCAGAGCAGGGCACCAGATCTCCGTACAGATGGTTGTGAGCCACCATGTGGTTGCTGGGAATTGAACTCAGGACCTTTGGAAGAACAGTCAGTGCTCTTAACCTCTGAGCCACCTCTCCAGCCCCAGTCCAAGTCTTGATAGAGCAGGTGACAAAAATGTTTAATGTATTGCTTGTAATTGGGACAGTGGCTTACCACATTTAATATAGCTGCTTTCTCCTTTGATTTAATAAGCTCTGTGGCCCCTTAGCTAGTTTTGACATTCTCGATGTTTACTGCAGCAGCTGTGAAGAGCTTTCCTCCTGTCACTTTCTCTCTCAAGGCCTTTAGTCATTTACTGTATAGTGTTTTACTTTATTAATTCATCTAGGGACTATGTGCGCATATGGCAGAAGTGTATGGCATCCTGACCTAGGCTCTGTGAAAAGACGCGGTGAGGGCGCGGTTCCTGCCCTGTTCTTATTCCTGCATTGTAGTTCTGTATCTGCACAGCTGTCATTTCAACCCTAAAACAACTGTGTCTCATGTTCTTACTACATTTTTTCAGGACTGCCTCCTCACCTAACGCAGTGTAGCTTCTGCAGGCATTGCTCCTCTTAGCAGATACTGTGCCGCTTGATTGCATATTCTGGCGTAGTTTTAAAAGATTCTCAAAGTCCTTACAGCACATTTTTAGTTCGTAGAATTAGGAAGTTGAGGAGTACCAGGGCTGGAAGATCTAAATTCTAAATCCTAATCTCTGAAGTTGTTTATCTGATTCCTGATGGTCAAGGTGTGGCCTGAATCACAACATTGGTGTCTTATGGGGCTTGTTAGAGAAGGATTTCTGGCTCCATAGAGACCCATGAATCAGAATTCAGGCTGAGCAAGGCCCTGAGATTACCAGTGTGAAGGGAAAGTAGAAGTCTTGTTCAAGGTCACCCTCCATTTGACTTGAAGAAACAGAAAGTTAGAATGGTTGCCCAGAGTCACCCAGCTGTTTATTTCCCACTGTGGAGTCATTTGTGAATCTGCACAAAAGATAGTTAGATTTGATATTCTGCCTTCATTAATTAGAATTGCATCCTTGGCATCAGATTTTTAAAATTTTCCAAGTTGACACCTGTAGCCAAGACCCATTGGTTTGGTTAAAATGGAATTCAGGTTTCTCTATGATTGTCACCAAGCACTCACTTTACACTCCCAAAGTGACACAGTCAGGAGCTGTGGAGAACAGTCCTTTCAGGCTTTTTACAATAGTGTGCATGTACCATGATGATCTACCTCACTTAGGGTCAGTTTACCTTACCTTCTAGAATGTCCCTTGAGACAGGATGCCTTGTTTATTGTGGGTCTCCGCTGACTGTCTGGCACGTGGCATGTGCTTCTTTGCCATTTGTAGACCAAATGAAAGAGGTAAAAAGAGGTGTGTGCTGTGGGAGGAATAGGCAGTTTCTGATCCCTACATCTATCTCCAGGGTTGCCTGATCATGGGGCCAAAGGCTTTCTGAAGGCTTGTCAGCTCTGTGGAGCAGCAGGACACACTGCTGTGGGAGTACTTGGACTCATATGTCTGCTTTTCTATGCCGTAGTACTGTCCTTTTGGGGTTTATCTGTCCTGACGTGTCTGCACTGAGTAGGAGAACCAAGAAGGATGGCTCCAGCTTGGCAGAACTTGGGACCAGCACTCTTTCCTTTGGCCAAGCCACTGCACTGTTGCAGAGAGGCATCTGGAGATGACTGGCACACAAGTGATCCTGTGAAAGTCTCTTGAGCAGGGCCTGGCACACGAGAGTCTAGGCAAGGTGGCTGTTGTTCCCATTGTCTTGTGCCATGGTTTATCTGCTTTGAGAACCTGGGGGTGGTTTGAGGTTATTTATAAAGTTTTTAAGCTTAAATCAACTGGGAGCCTTAATAAAGCCAGTGCTGTGGAGGAGATTTAGTTGAGTTCTGTCCAAAGTGTCTTGAGTTCTGTGTTGCCATTTGGGATGTTTTACCACTAACTTAACTATCAGATTAGGAAGATAGGTGTGAAAACCCCATTGTTTGTAAGGCCATTTATGTTAGTGTGTCTTGTCAAACATTAGTGATTTAAAAACTTTTGAGACTGTTAAGATATGCTAAGTAACTATTACCTTTAATGCTAATTTTTTTTTTTTTTTGGTAATAGGCAGAAAATGAGCCTTTAGTGTGGCTAGTAGGCTTCCTTGGAAGCTGGTAGATGTTAGAGTGGATGGGGAGGTCTCCAGACACTGGAGAAGAATTAAGGAGTCAATAGCTACTCTGGGTGTAGGAGTTGTGTTATGGGAAAGCTCTGTTGTATTTATGTCTGAGGATCCGGGTCACCCAGCAGGAAGGGAGAGGAAAAGGAAAAATTCATGGAAGTTTAGTCCGGCAGCTTTTTTGCTCTTAGAAAATGTTGAAATTATTAAAGATTGTCCTTGTTACTATAGTAACAGTGGTGTTTGCTGACGGTAGTGTGGTGGTTGGATTCTCTTTGGAGGAAACCCCAGAGGGGAAGGCATCATAGAGTGCCATCTTGCCTATCTGTGGTGACGCGGAGGCTCAGTTGCTTCCCAAGGACAGCTAGTAAGTGACAGAACTGGAGTCTTTGCACTTCAACTGTTGACCTTGAAACGGTCTTTGTTTTTTTTCCAAGTGTAAAAATAAGTGGTTTATAATAAATAATCAGTAGTCTAAAGTATCAGTATTACAGCTAAACAAGAAGTCATTCTTAGGACTAAAAATAATTGACTGGAGAGATCCAAATATTTTTCTCTTTTAAAAGAGTATAGGTTTTTATATGAAAACTTGGTTTCCTTGAATGAAGTGACTTGAGAGCAGAGTCCATATCTTCTGACTTCCTCCTCTTGTTCTTCTACATAATGCTGTTTGGCACTCAGCTGAGTCTCTTGTATGAATGGGGTGTTTTCAGTTGAGTCTCTTGTATAAATGGGGCGTTTTCAGTTGAATCTTTTGTATGAATGAGATGTTGGCTGTGTTGCTGGAACATGGTTAATGTTGATACTGACTGCAGATGAGGATGCCATGGATATTGCTTCTTATATGTTTTTTCTGTGCACAACACATGTGTACTCTATTAAAAACCACACAGGTGGATGTTTATTCTGTGCACAGCACATTTGTGCTCTAATAAAAACCACATGGTATTGCATGTTCTCATGCTTCCACGTGTGTCTTATATTTGGAAATGCTCCCAAGCCTACAGTGCAAAGCACTGTTACCTCAGCTCTTTGTAGATCAGATGCCGTCTTCGTCACTTTTAAATGCTGTATTGTGTTGTCTTCCCTGACTACAGTAGTCACAGCCTGGAAATTATCATTGAGGCATTTCTAACATCCAATCCCCAAATCCTGTTTCACTTTTGACTATTGTTAAAGATCATTCAGTCAGAACTCTGGTGCATGTTCAGTAGCCACTTCATTCTCCTTGGTCACAGATGGCTGTCAGTGGCTCTTAGTCTTTCTCAACTGCAAAGCCTTGACATGAAAGATCCCAGGCCAGTCGTTTTGTGGAATGCCCATGTTTGGATTTATCTGATGTTTCCTCATGGTTAGATTCAGGTTTTGCATCTTCAGCAGGAATATCACAGAAGAGCCAGTATATGTCTCTTTCAAAGATTAGTTTTACATTTTATTTTCTGTTTCCTTAGAGCGTTTCCCAAAGTGTATTCTGCGGAACTAGCACCTACTGTGTTCTCAACACCGTGCCACCTATAGAAGGTAGGATTTGAAAAGCTTTTGACTTTCAGGAATGGGTGGGCTTGGCAGCCAGAATAACTCCTTCCCTAGTGTGGTGAAAACAGCCCTGTACCAGAACTTAGGAAGCTGGGCTTCTGCCTTTTGCTGCTGTGTGATCTTAGATGAGTTACTTAATCCTTTTAGGCAACACAAATAATGCTCTCCTCATGAGCCTTCTGTGAGGATTTAAAGCGACGGATCCAGCCATACAGAAAGGTCACAGCCCCTGCAAATGTTGTATTAATACAGCACTTCCTTAACTGTGGAGTCCAGTAGTACATCTGGATGATACAGAGTAGGACTAGCTGGTGTTCTGTGGGAACCAAAGATTATTTTTGAATCCCAGTTCTACTTGTAACAGTGGATCTTGGCTAAATTAGTCTGAACCCTCAAGTTCCTTATTTGCAGAGCTGGGGTGGAGGTGGTGGTAATTAAAGCGTCACATTTTCTCATGAGGATTAAACAAGAGAACCCAGTAAATAGTCCTTCTTGGGTACCTGGTGTGTTACAATAGACCTCCATGAATGTCTCCTCCAATCAGTAATAGAAACCTAAGCACCTGTTGCTGAAGTTGGAGTTGAGTGAAATAAAGTACAGGAGTGTGCCCAAAGCCTAGGTGAATGCAGCCCAAGTCTTTGGTGCCTCTTCTTTTTCTGTTCCTGTCCCATATTTTATATTGAAATGTAACTGTAGAGTGAATAGGAGTTCATAGAACCTGGGTTATGATGCAATAACACAATGGAGAAGAAAACAGTAATTCTGGGCCACCTAAGACTAGGAAGGGTGAGAGTGGTATTTATACAACTCCACAAAGAGAGGAAAGAGAGGTTGTTAAATAACAAAACTATTCAGGCTTTGCTACTTAAAATTATTAACTGCTTTAATCACTAAAACTCCATTTGAAGAATTACGTTGGGTTTCATTTCCTTCTTAGACTGGAAGAGAACAGCATCTGTTCTGACAGTGTTTGGGACAGGAATCGGAAGGTCTTAGGTTGGTCACGGCAGTGCTTTGCTATGAGTGCTGTGCTGCCTGGAACACACCAGTGTGTGCTCCTTTCCCTGAGCTAGTTCTGATCCCACTAATTAAATCTAAGCACATCATAATTAGAGCCAAGCAGAAAAGTGTGGAACTGGAACTGCTGTTTAGTTTTTCCTCTTCACGCTGTTGATCACATGCCCCGGGAGAGTTAGCCGATGGACTTGCTGCTGCAGCGGAGCCGGTGTGGTGGTCTTTCTAGAGGTCCAGAGATGGACGAGTCACCATCCCTCACCTAAGTCAGGGTGTTCTCCTTGTTCATAGGCCCAAACTGTTATATTTTTATTGCAAAGGGAAAGACAGTGGAGGTATCCTTATCAGACTAGTTTAGTTAATATACTTAGGACTTAGCTTGCAGAAATTCGAGCACCCCAGAAACATGCCAAATGCATTTCTTTGTGTTTGAGTCAAAGATTTGGCAATGTGAATCTCAATTTTAGAAACAAAACTGAAAGTTAGACTCTAGTTAGCTGAGTGAACATTTTTATACATTTTAGAAAGATCTAACTAAATTACACTATGACTCTGAAATTATCATTTTGAAAATATTTGAAGGTTGACTAGGAAGGATGGCTCATTCTCTAGAATTATAGCTGTCAGCCAAGCACATCATCTGTCAATTTCAAGAGCCCCACCAGTTTTTATTGTGAGGTAGGTTAGGAAATTATATTGTGAAGTCATGTATCATGTATTTTGCTAGATAACGATAATGAAATGCTTGCCTGTCATTTAGTTGACATTCCCACTTTGCAGTGTCAGAGTTTAACTGTTTGGGTTGAATATGGAGGTGCAGTTGAAACCAGTTTATACCTTAGTTTTAGTGTTAAGATACTATTACTGGCATTTTAAAACTGGCACATATGTTCGGTTCTTTAATCATTTTACAGCTATTCTAAAAAATTAAACAGTAGCTTTTAATTAAAAACACATTTTTATGCAGTATCACTTTGTGAACAGTTCTTTTCCAACATAAGAACAAAGTTTTCAGTTACCATACTTTACCATTAATACTGAAGTTGGATTATTTTCCCCTGGTGCTGGAAACTGAACCCGGGCATTTTAGGTGAATAATCTGTTACTGTGCTAAACTTGGCCCTAAAGAATGGAGTATGAGTTTAGCATTAAACTTTCTGAGTTCTGACTCTGTCCAGCATTGAACTTGCTTCTTCATAAGTTGGGAGAAGGGCATTTACCCATCATTACGATTCTTAAGGGCACCTGACTTACCGTTCAGCATAAACCTAAAATTCTGAAAATGATGCATTTGAAAAGCAGAGCAAGAGGACTTGCTGGCCGGGCATGCAATCCTTTCTTCCTTTCACCTTGTGAACATAGGGTTACTGTGCAGGGCTGCTTCATAGCTCTCTTCTGTAGCGAGCTCTGGTGGAGCCTTGATTGAGATAGTGCCCACATAGCATTATGCTTTCGTCTTTAAAAACATTTGCCTTTGGGTCCACACACCATTGTCTCTTCTGTCAGAGTGAAATTGAAAGCCTGAAGCTTTTCCTCAAGCAGTTGTATTATTGAGAACAAGGACACAAACATATTCTCTCTCTCTCTCTCTCTCTCTCTCTCTCTCTCTCTCTCTCTCTCTCTCTCACACACACACACACACACACACACACGCACACACTCATACACTCAGTATTCTCTTTCACACACATAACATTCTGTCTCACACAGACTTGATGTTCTCTCTCTCACATACACAACATTCCCTCACACACATTCAACATTGTCTTGTACTCATGCACACATTTCACACACACCATTCTCTCTCACACATTATACACACTCCATTCTGTTTGTCTGTCTGTCTCTCACTCACACACACAGACACACACACACACTCATACACTCACCCTTCTCTCTCTCACACACACTCACCACTCTCTCTCACACACACACTCACCACTCTCTCTCTCTCTCACACACACTCACCCTTCTCTCTCTCACACACACTCACCACTCTCTCTCTCACACACACACTCACCACTCTCTCTCTCTCTCACACACACACTCACCCTTCTCTCTCTCACACACACTCACCACTCTCTCACACACATCACACACACTCCATTCCGTCTCTGTTTCTCTCTTCCTCTCACTCTCACTTTACTGCTGGCAGCCAGGTTTCTTAAAGAGGCTAAAGGGACAGGAGGTTAGCATGGGTTATGACCAACAAATGGAAACAGAAGTTAGGGTTTAATGTTCTGTTCTGCTTTAGATTGCTTTCTCAGGAAGATGGCTGTTCATGTACAAGGTATCTCTGCATCGACTGAGTACTAGCCTAGTGCTATTCTCGTAAAAGATATCCCATTATATATTGAATAGAATATAGATGTTCACATTTCACCTCTACTTTCAAAATTGTGTATGTCACTTTTTCTTTTAAAGAGAAAATAAAACCACATTGGATAGAAAGCAGGAAGGTAAAACTTCATGTGTTTCTGTCTTCTGTACTTTAAATTTTTTGACCTATGTGCTTCCCTGAGCATATGTAATTATAAAGACTTTATAGTAAGCAATGAATCAGAACGTCCTATTAACTTTTTCTTAGTTGATTTCCTTTTGATTTTAAGCAATATTTTTAAGTTTAATCTTAATTTGGTATTAATTTGTAATTTTGGATCTCCTAAGAGCAGTGTCAGCAGTTTCTCACTGCTGGAGACTCGCACAGTTGTGTTTATAATTCAGTTGGCTGTGTAGTTCATGGACCAAAAAAGAGTTAGTAGGCTAAGACTCTCAAGTTAATTCCTGTAAAGCATTCTGCATGATGTGGTAGATTTTCTCAGACTATTTTTGTGCCTGATATTTACTTCTGTCCTTCTCCAAGAGAAGAAGAAATGTGTTAATCAGATGAGAAGTGTTCAGGTGGGAATTTTGTAACCTTAGGAAAGTTTTGTTGTTGTTTTATTTATCCCTCAAAAGACAGTATTAACTAGAAGTACAGAAATAACTGGATAGATAATTGCTGTATTTCACTTCATATTTAAGCAGTACCTGTGGACCTCTGTAAAGCTGCTGATTTGTAAGGCATGCTGTTGCTGAAGGACCTTAAATTTTATAGAAATTTGTACTTGAGGGAGAATTAAACGATCCCGAATTCTCTGATTCATGATGTGGAAAAACTGGAAACACTGAGTAACTTACCCAAGGTCACACAGGCAGAAGGGCGCAGAACCCTGACAGGTGTGGGCTGTAACTCTGGGTGGGTGCTTGTGAAAATTGGTGAGCCCGTGGTGGAGCAGCTTGAATCTAACCTTGTAACACGCTGTCCCAGGACTCAGGTATATGGCCCCTCATGTCGTCTGGGGATTTCATTCAGCGTAAAAAATTGAAGTGGGTAATTTGAAACTCTGACTGGAATTTGCCACATATGGCAAGGAATTTGGAGTCAGGGAAAGGGAGGGATTTCTTTACAGGAGTGGAAAAGTAAATGATATGTAAATAAATGATGGAAATAAATGCTATCTAAAGAAATGATCTACGAAGCATCAGGTAGTCAGATTTGCTGTCTGGGCTAGAAGTAATGAGTTCTGTGACTCATTTAGACAGTTACATCTGATGGACTGCATTAATTCTGCAGACATGTACATGAAAATCAGCTTAATTAAAGTGATGAATTGTTAAGGTGCAGCCTAGAAAGGCCAGCTTCTGTATTACCTGTTAGTTAACCACAGTCTTAAATCCTTATAAGAATCTGTTGTTTCCTTTAGAAAGGAAAATCTCTTTTGTATTATAGAAGACAAAGTCATGTTTAGTTTATGAATAAAAGTCACATGCAATTATAATTCTTCAAACTTGAAAACTATGACACGTTTAACTTGGTTGATAAACAGTTTCTGGGTTTCATGAGGTTAAATCATTTTATAATTTCGGTGTTTCTTGAAAGCACTGAAAGAGCCTTTAAAGTAACAATCTGATTTTGGGCGGCTCTGGGGCACTTCCTGCTTGCTTGCTTTTTGTTTTGCTTGCTTATGATGCTCAGTCTGTTTTAGAGCCCCACAGGCAGATTCCTGCTGCCTCCATCCCAGAGTGTATAGGTGAGGAACTATGTTCTTGAACTCAGCCGCTAAGCAGAGCTGCTGCTTTTGACATTGTCAGTGTGCTTAAAGGAGACTTTCTCTTTCTCTGAACTTACTGTTTTCTTCTTTATAGATGATCATGGGAACAGCAATAGTAGTCATGTAAAAATCTTTTTACCGAAAAAGCTGCTTGAATGTCTGCCGAAATGTTCAAGTTTACCCAAAGAGAGGCACCGCTGGAACACTAATGAGGTAGATACACTTCAATTCTTAAGGGCATATTATTTTATGGGTGAACTCTTTAGGATGTTTTGCATAGTGCTACTTTATATTAGCTTCAAATTCAGTAGCTTGAACATGGAAATTGTCAATGAAAAGAATTTATTTTAAATCAACAACAACAATAAAAAACAGGATTTTCTCTGTGGGTAGCCCTGACTATCCTGTAGTCCAGGCCGTCCTTGAACTCAGAGACTCACATACCTCTGCCTGTGCTGGGATTAAAGGTATGCGCCACCACCACCTGGCTGAAAAGAATTCTTAATCTCAAATTGACATAAGCTAGCTTGGCTTGTGTTAAGAGCGGTAAACTGCACGTGACTCCACTAAAGCAGCACCTTGCGTGTGATGGTTGATTTGCCTGTGCATCTCAGCATGAGTTCTGTATTGTTCAAGTGGATGACTGCAGTCCCAGTGCTTCACAGAAAACAGTTGCTGGAGATGCGGTATATAGAGCTGGGGACAGGCTCATCAGTCCTTTGATCTGGAGAGAGAGAGCTTCTTTCAAGTATTGACTGTTTGCCTTAGTAATAGGGTTTCTGTTAGGACTGCAGGCCAGAATGTAGGCCACACATTTGACACCCATGTAAAGAGTAGATTGATGGAGAAGATAGAAGGAAAGTTTGTCTTTTTGGGCAGACTTTTCCTTTTTTGGTAAATTGTGTGTTGTTTCGTTGTCTAAAGTTTTAGCTTGAAATCTGGGTATTTAAGGTAGGGTAGTAGCAGAAATTGGATGTTATCCATTTCCAGTGTATTATGACAGTTACTGTGGTGGTGAGAGCTGGGTGTGTGCCTGTCAGTCATGGTCTCCTTTGGCTCACGTGACTGGGACTACTGGTTACCTCACATTAGCATAAATCCATTTGTGTTGTTGGTTCACTCTTTATTTCTAAGTTAGCTTAAAGCACAGCTCCTTCCTCCCATTTGGCAGGGCTTGAAAAGGAACAGTGATGTCTGTTGAGACTTCATTTTGACTCTTTGTTTTGAGTGGTGGGAAGCTGTATGGATGAATTTCTTCACTTCACAAGCTGCAGTTTTAAATACTCACTGGAACCTTAAGCTTCGTAGCTTTGTCTCAACTGAGTAGATCTTTTGAGTATGTGTTTTACTCACTCATGTGGGTGGTCCTTGCTCTCCGTGGACAGCAGCTTTATCATGGCCGGTATTTGCTTAGCCCCTTCTAGTTCTAACCAGCATGTTTTACTTAAGTATTTATGTTTTAGACCTGAAAAACAGAAACTATGTTGAAAATTTCTTAGTCGTGGACTATCTCACTTGTCAACAGTACAGTAAACTTTGGAAACTTTGTAGGAATTCTCTTAGGAATTCCACAGAAACTCAGTGTTCTTTGATGCTCTCTGAGACAGAGCTTTGACACAACATTTTCTTATGCTTTAATTAGCTCTAGTTTATAATTGTCACAAACACATTAAACTAAACATGCTCTCCAGTTACATTTCATAAGGAGTAGAAATTGTCAGTGTGGTTTAGTGAAGTTAGAGACTGATAGTGGGCTCACAAGTCTGAGAGTGACTGATTTTGCTGTGGAACTTTCACATGTATATTTGCTTCTAAATCTAAATTATTTACATGCTCTACTTTCTAACATACTAGCTTTGTTATAAAATGCCAATCGAGGACTTTATGTGTGCATGAGTAGTAGGTCTTGATATGTAGCTCAGGCTGGTCTTGAGCTCATTCTTGGACCCCTTGCCTTAGGTTTTCAAATTTAGGTATCGCAGGCATGAGCCACCATGTACAGCAGTGTTTAGAGGATGTGATTAAAGAGTAAGGAGTCTCCCTGTTTTCTCCCATGCTGTGGGTTACTGTTGTTGACCCCCTTTCAGACAGCTGAAATATGAAACTGCAGGTCTAGAGGAGAAAAAGTAGAGTGTTCTGTGCAGGTGTTGCTGCAGCAGCAAGCACAGAGGGGAGTGTGTTGCTGAAGGGGTGGAGGCGGAGGTGGCATGGCTGATGGACAGCGCCCTTTCGAGCTGTCATTCTTGCAGTGATTTGTCAGCTCCACACTGAGGAAATCTGGGTGGAAAGATGGCCTGCAGTTTGGAGTGGGCATCGCTCTTTGTTTCTTGGCTTTAGAAGAACTGGAGGGCTGCTCAGTGTGAAGGTGGGGACCACACCTGTCCCTGTTTTATTAACGATTGGCTTGGACCACAGGGAGGAAGAAGTCGATGTGGTTCTGTAGGCGTCCACTTCCTTGGTTTGACTGGGCATTTCCTGAACTCTTCCTCCTGTTGTCTTCATGGTATTAGATGGATGTACCTCTCACTGGGCCTTTGTGTTCCTAGGAGAGGAAAATCCTGGGCAGTCTACCTTGCCCATGATCCCTGTGCAGGCTTATGGAGTGCTGTGCCGTCAGTGTCGTACGCAGTTAAGAGTCCATTTTCCTTCGAGAGTGGACTAGATGACTGTGTTCTGGTTGAGAACCATGTGAAGCAGGTGGCTTGTTGAGAAGGTTTTTGTACAAAGACTACATTTCTTAAGATCACACTTCCTGGAACAAGAGGCTCTATCCTGGAGGAGGTGTATGGTCTGACAGCAGCTGAGTGTGTGGTGAAGTTGTGTTCCCATCTCACTGTGCAGCTTGTGCAAAACAGGACATACACTGGAGCTGCCCAAGAAATGGCAGCTGTCCTCCTCAGCCACCTTGATCGTCTCCCCTCACCCCTCACAGTTGAATCCTGGGTCCAGTTGACTCATTTGTACTTCTGAGAAGTTCATTTACTCAGACTTGCTTTTAAACATTTGTGTTGAGAAAACCCAGTCTCATACTGTGGTGTTGGAGAGTTAGAACTGTCTCTACTCAGGTGCTGCCATTTGCTAGGGACTGAGCCCAAATTATTTCTAAGTCTCATAATGCTGTAAGGTGAGCAGTGTTTCCTTTTAGAGATGCGGAAGTATAGGGAGAAAGGGCTGAGTGATGGAGTCACAGCAGTGCTCTTGGTCTGTAAAGTTTGTTTCCTAGCTTCATTTCTTGTGTGTGTAATGTGTGCATATCTCAGTGTTTGATGAAGCTATAGGTTACTTTGATGAGGTGATTCTTGTCTTAGTTCAGCCACTTTTATCTTTATGTTGTTCTTTTTTTTTTTTCCCCCTTTAGACTGCCCTGGAACTCTGTAGACAGGTTGGTCTCAAACTCGGATTTCTGTCTGCCTCTGCCTTCCAGGTGCTGGGATTAAATGTGTGTGCCACCTCCCTTGTTTATTTAATTTTTCCTAACCCATTGGGCTATATAATTTCCTTTCCTTCTTCAGTGTTATTTGCAACTGAGAAGAAATGGAATGTTGTGTCTAGAAGCAAATCAGCTTTAGACTGTGCTTTCTTGGGTAGATAGAAGTACTCCTGAGACCTGAGGCCTCCCAGGGATCTATGCTGATGGCTACAGTAGCAATCATGGAAGCCAGTGTCTATGGTTGGTTGTAGGGTAGGCACTGTGGGTTCCTCTTCATGAATACTCTTAGCCCTTGAATTAACCCTACGAAGTAGGCTGTTTGATTACCCTTGTAGTATATATAGATAAGGAAATGTGACATACGGGAGATGCTAAATAGTTTTCTTAGGGTCCTCAGGCTGAAAAAAGTGTGTGGGGTGTGCAGCCTCTGCAGGTGGTGGAACTTACATTCTTTTCTGCTTTGTCCTGAAGAACTGTTACTTTGTTGTTATTATTATGTATTCCCCTTCTTCCGCCTCTGTTCTCAGTGTTCTTCTCTCCCCTAGCCCCTCTTCTTGTTTTTGAGATAGGATCTCATGTATCTTGGGCTGGTCTTGAACTCTGCATCTTGAATTCTACCCTGCCTCAATGTCCCAAGTGCAGGGATTACAGGTGATGGCATTTTTCAACTAGACTCTTTCTCAAGATCTTGCAGTTATTCAGTGACTTTTAATCTTTTTGTTGTATAGAATTGATTGACTATAAGTATATAGTGTCTTGCATGGTGATTTTATTTTAGTACCATTCATTTCTTAGGAAAATAGTTTTGCTTTAGTGTGTGATATTGTGCATATTACATGTTTGTGTGTATGTATGTATGTGTGTCCTTGCACACATGTATATGTCTGTATGTGGAGGTCATGCACATGCCCAATGTCTTACTCAGTTTCTCTCCACATTACTTTTTGAGACAGAGTGTCTCACTGAACCTGAAACTCACCAACTTGCAAGACTAACTGGCCAATGAGCCCTAGGCCCCTTCTTTTTCTTCCTTACCAGTGTTAGGAGTACAGGCATGTATATATGCCAACTTCTGATATGTGTGCTGAAGGACTGACGTCAGGTTCTCATGCTGAATGTGGCAAGCATTTTGTGGGCAGAGCCATCTTTCCATACCTGCATTCTTTAAATATACTTAAAATTTCATTTATTTGTTTATTTGAGAGAATGTGTACGTGTAGACACATGTGTGGAGGATGGTGAACAACTTGGGGCTTCTGGCAAAGTGCTTTTACCTGCCAAGTCATCTCATTGACTTCTTTAAAAAGTGTTTGTTTTGAGACAGAATCTTGTAGTGAAGCCTTGTCTGACCTGGTACTTGGCTGTGTCATATAGGCCAGCTCCACATGTTTGTCAGTCCTGCCTCTGCCTCCTTAATTACAGGCATGTGCCACCACATGAACACTTTGCCTCTTAATGATGAGTAATGGCAGTCTCCAGAAGTGAAGAAGGGACATGGACAATAGAAACCATACCTGTGTGTAACTTGGTGTCCAGGCCTGGTTCTTATTTCCAGGATGGAGGATGCAAGGAGCACAGCACATTTATTTTATCACTCTGCTACTTAAGATAGGGGCTACTTAGCCCAGGCTGGCTTTTAACTCATGATCCTCCTGCCTCAGGACTGGGATATGTTTGGGATTACAGGCATGCCCATCTTGCCCAGGTGGGTGTGCACTTTACTGGAAATCTGTCTGTGGTCATTGGTATTTTTTTTTAGATGAGCTATTACAAGGTTTCTGCA